GAACTGGGTAACTCGGCTCGTCACCCTCTCCAGGAGACCTCCCTGAACCCCCGTGCCTGTACACACACTCCTGACCATCCCCGTGGACATCCACTACTCAGAGGAAGAGCTGTCATTACTATCACAACCAGCACCCGGTGGTCCTGGCTCAACTAAACACAGCCCCGCTTAGGCATGCACAATGCACAAGAGCATACGGCTGTCAGCTTCATCGGATGGGGATTCTTGGCCAACGGCTGCACTGCTAAACATGTATTTACCCTTTAAAGCCCGAAGTCCTACAGAATACTTGTTCAGTAAAAAACTGTCTACAACATTTGGCTTTGGTCTTAGCCTTCTACAGATTTTAACTTTTTTTCCCTTTTACTGATTAAGCCTTAACTATGAATATCCAATGATCGTGCTTCACTGTTAATTAATGTCAGACAATGGAAAATACTGATTACTTTTGAAGATTTAATAATCACTAGAATTACACTAACCTTCTCGGAAAGGATTTCACAGCTGGCTCATTCTGCTTTCTTTTCCCACCCATGGCTTTTAGCTGCCAGCTTACACTCACTGTAAGAGGCTTGGAGACTGAATTTTGTTCGGAGTTCCCAGAACGCACCCGCATTCGGTCTAGCTGCTCAAGCCCCTCCTTGTGCCTCAGCCCACTGCTCCCAGCTTCAGGACAGCTTCTGTCCCCAACAGCCACAGGCTTAGCTGACCCCTCTCCCTGACAACCACACTTCATACCTTTGTCTATTTTAATTAACTTGCTAACTACCAGCTCTTCTCCAGGGCCACACTGACAGTTTCTTGCATTATCTGTTCTTATTCAAAGTTTACAGCTGCCTTGGTCTCCAAATGTCACAACCGTTTCTTCATAAGCTTTCAAAAGATCTCAAAGACACATGATGATTTTATCCAGTTTTCCTGCTTCAAAAGAGGTGATCTCAGAAGATCACGGAAAATCCCTTGATGTCGGTGTGGATAAACGGCACACGCCTTTCAACTCTCATTAACTTCACTGCCTGCTCTACGGTGACTTGGGAGACTTCTACTTCTAAAGATGGCTGCAAGGAGTACTGGCTCGCTGCATGGGACGGTGCAGGCCTATCCCCCAGCACTCGGAGGCTGCATGGGACGGTGCAGGCCTATCCCCCAGCACTCAGAGGCTGCATGGGACGGTGCAGACCTATCCCCCAGCACTCGGAGGCTGCATGGGACAGTGCAGGCCTATCCCCCAGCACTTAGGAGGTTGCAGGTGATGGTGCACATCTACCCCTGCACTGGAGAGGCTGCATGTGACAGTGCATGCCTATCCCCCCAGCACTTGGAAGCTGCACGTGGCACAGGCCTATCCTCCAGCATTCAGGAGGCTGCATGTGGTGGCCCATGCCTATCTCCCAGCACTCAAAAGGCTGCATGTCTTGATGCATTGCTATCTCCCAGCACTCAGAGGGAAAGCAGGGTGACTACAAGCTTGAGAACAACCTAGGCTACAAAGAAGCCTTGTCCCCCTCCTCCAAAAAACATAAATTATAAATTCTGGTTAGGGGAAAAGATGAAAACCCTACAAATGTGAAGTGACTTGGAAATTTACCATCAAATGTCATCTAATGAATGATGCTACTGAGAGACACAGAGGAAAGACTCTGGACCTGAACCGATTTCTGGAATAAAGGCATTTTGTCCGTGTTTTTGGTAAAGTGGCACCCCACCCACACGTCCTGAGGTATTTGTACTTGAAATGTGTGTGTTTGCACATGAGATGACCCGATGCTGGGCTCTGAGTCAAATGGCAGCAGAGGGATTAGGAATATGGGATAAACAGGATCAGAAGGACGCTGGGTGCTGAGAACAAGTAATTTAACACTATATTCTAGTAACGCTTTCCATTTCCCAAACTCAACTGGAGTACCCTGGTCACATCGTCAGGTGCCTGAGGCTTCTCACTGCTTCCTCGCCAGCAGGCATTTCTGTTCCACGTGTCAGTTTTGTAGATTTTGGTGGGTTTGGATTCATTTTTCAAGACAGGATTTCTCTGTGGCCTGGAACTCACTCTGTAGACCAGGCTGGCCTCAAAATCACAGAGATCCACCAGCCTCTGCCTCCCAAGTGCTGGGATTAAAGGTGTGCGCCACCATACCTGGCCCACATGTCAGTTTTAACATGCTGTACCATTCTTCTGGGGTTCAAAGCCTTCCACAGACAAAATCCTACTCTCACATCTGCCCTGCCCCAGGAACCCAACCTTCCTACACCCTTCTTACCTCAGACAGAGACACAGTCAGCGGCCACCACAGCCGAGGTTAAATCATCCGTCAACCAGCAGCATCTCTATGAACCACGCTATCTACCTCAGACCACATTCCAGCTTCTAGACTTCATCGATTTACTCCAAGAAATTGAATACAAATATCGACCATCAAAGCAGAGAGTGGTCATGTGGTATTTCTGTAAAAGTCTAACCTCTAGCCCCATTCTACCTAGAACCCCGTTCCTGCACACACTGGGATATCTAAGTCCTTTACCAAAAAGGCCCTCAACACTTAACCACTACCTCTCTGCCCAGCTCAGCCACAGCTCCTTACCCATCTCTGTTCTGAACTATAGCACTCTTCACTGCTTGATGGCACATGTCTACCCATTACCTCCCTTGCTACAAATAAAACTGTGGATGCAGGTGCTTCACAAAGTTTGCTACCAAGCCCTCAGATTCCAACCAATAAAAAGAATGTAAAATATCAATAAATGCTGGCCACATGCTCAAGATCCCAGAAAAGAATATCTAAACGTCAAAGAAAGTACATGCACACACCTCTTATGTAACATAAACCAAAACATTCCATTACCAGCCCACTCCACATGCCTCCACTTCAGTGTGGAAAGGTGGTATCGTGGCACTATTTGGATCGAACATCATATTTAGTCTTTACTGAACAGCTGAGAAACGAGTGACTATAACATTATACAAACACTAACTGAACTTACCTGTGTGTGCCAGGAAAAGCCCATGTGATAACACTACCTTCACATGCACACCATGAGATGATGGGTATGTTTGTGTACATGCTCTTATGTGTACACACCTGTTTGCAGATCCATGTGTTTACATAGATGTGTACATGGGCCAAAGGTTGACAGCAGGTGTTACTTCCTCCCCTTTACGTTTGAGGGCGGGTCTCACTGAACCTGCAGCTCACTACCAATTCAGTCACTCGCTAGCGAGCCAGCCCCAGGACCCTCCCGTCTCCACCCTCAAGCACTAGGATGACACATGTGCACTAGGATGGCATGTGCACTGCTGTGCCCTTGGCCTTCCTGCATGTGTGCTGGGAATCCAAACCTGAGTCACGACACGTGTGTGGCAAGCACTTTACCAAATGAGACATCATGCCAGCTCCGTCCGAGGATTTGGTTTGTTTTTGTTTTTGCATTTTTGAGACAGGGTTTCTCTATGTAACCCTGGCTGTCCTGGATCTCACTCTGTAGACCAGGCTGGCCTCAAACTAACAGAGATCACCTGCCTCTGCCTCCCGAGTGCTGGGATAAAATGCCACCTCTGCCCACCCTCCATGGAATTTTTAACATCTAGAAAATATCTCAGAATGTAGGGCATAGTGCAAATTACGAGATTTTAGAAAGCATGTCTGTGCTACTCCTAAAATCAAAATTAATTCCATCCTTTGGTTTTGCCCTTAATGCGCATGCTCCTGACAGAAACTCCACTAGCCACCACTTGGGAAATTAAAGCATGTGGGTGGGCAGCTGGCTACAGGGTAATCGGGGAAGCTCAGGGTTCTAGCTCCTACTTCATCATATGACCTTGGGCAGACCATGTGCCTCAGTTTATAAAACAGAGTGGAGGGATTATCTTCTTTACAGAATTGGCATGATAACCAAAAGACTTAAAGTGAGGTAAATATCTGAGAGCGCCACCAGCATACAGTCATGGTTAACTGTTCCAGTTACCCTGCTCAGTACCAGTAGTGTTATCACATCTGAACCCACTCACACATCAGCGTAATTCTAGGCAGTGTTTATTCTGAAGAACCAAGAACAGTATTTTATTATATTGTTTCTGTGGGACACTGAACCCAGTGTCTTCTGCAAGTTCTAATTATTTTAAAATGGTAGGTGGGGGCAGTGAGAACAGTATGTGGAAACCCGGTGGTAATTACACTGTGAGTCTTTGCTTAACTGGAAAAGACACCCAAACTTACAAGAAAGGCAAATATCATCTAATCCCCCCTGAAACGTCATTGCTGAGTTCACAGTTATTCACAAAGCACCAGGCACTCAGAGTATACTGCATGGAGAAGCAGCCCTCATTAGAATCAGGATCACACTATCTCACTGCAGAGGAACTTCAGAGACGGCCAGGTCTCAGCTCTGTCCACCCTCACAGACTAGAAACCCAGGGCTCTGTCCACCCTCAATCTAGAAACCCAGAGCTCTGTCCACCCTCAGACTAGAAACCCAGAGCTCTGTCCACCCTCAGACTAGAAACCCAGAGCTCTGTCCACCCTCACAGACTAGAAACCCAGAGCTCTGTCCACCCTCACAGACTAGAAACCCAGAGCTCTGTCCACCCTCAATCTAGAAACCCATAGCTCTGTCTACCCTCAGACTAGAAACCCAGGGCTAAGGCTCAAAACCATGCCTCCACGCCCTCTACCTCCAAGTGCACATCTCTTCCTTCGGCTTTAGGGTGTGTTCAGCCCCTGCATGGCATTTACGTAAGCCAAAGGCTCTGCCAACAAAAGGCAAACCAGCACCCACCTTCTACTTTATAAGTGAAAAAAGACTGCCTGAGGTCCAGAACCTTGCCCAAGAACTGATCACTACCAGAACCACCATGGACCCAGAAACCAAAGCTTTGAAACCCCATCCATAGCTCCCCCATTATAAGCACTAAGTTCATCAAAACTTCTGTCCAGCCTAGCTTCACAGCCCAGACTGTCCCCTCCTAGAAATCCGCTAATCAGTACATTCACATTCCTGATACTCACCATGATCTCTCTCTGTTCTTCAAGATTCTTCAAAAAGTTGGAAAATTCCCGTAAGGAAGCATCTGTAAGGAGAAAGGCAGGATGAGTTTGTGCTGGGCGTGGCAGAGGACAGCAAACCAGACCTCACGCCTTTTTTACCTATGCATCGCTCATCATCAGTCTCGGCGTCTCCAATAAACTCGAACTTAAAGTCTCTGAGCGAATGAGCAAACTTCCGCTGGGCTGCAGAAAGACCTAGAAAGAAACGCACAGAGATGAACAGGGCCCCTGCTTTAAAGCCAAGGACTACCACAAAATCCATTTCTGTTGGGATTGTAGACTGTTGGGATTGCAGCACTCAGTATGTGAAAAGGCATAATCCAGCCCATCGCCCTCCATTTGGCACATGCGGGGGTCACCTGTCTCCCTCCCACACTAGAAAATCCACCGTGGCCCCATCCCTGCACGCTTTCCCCAGCTGATCACTGCACCAAAATCTATCTCTCAGCACTTTCCTCAGTCAGGGCAGAATTTATTAAGTTCACAAGGTAATTAGCATCCATCTGATAGCACTCCTCAGGGCTATGGAAGATCTAGACAGCTAACCACATCCTCTGAACTGATACTGCCATCACCAAAACCCCAACTACCCCCACTACCAACACCCCGACAAGGTTTTGGCATAATTCCTCACATAGAAAAAGCTGACTAATACAGGACTAATGATGCTGATTAAGCCGAAACTCTAAGGAGGACTGAAAATAAGCATACAACCGCAAAATATAAATAGCTGCTTTAAAAACTGAACTTTTTCTTAATTGGGCAAAGCATGCACATCACAAGAGGAAGTGAAAGAAATTAAAGTGGCCTGTAGCCACATGAAAAGGTGCTCCATCTTCAGTGGTCAGAAATCAAAGGCCTCAGGACAGCTGAGTCTCCTAACTGCCAACGTCTATGAAGAAACAAACCTCTCGTTGGCAAAATTGGCATAATTGCTTTGGTAGTTTAGCGATTCCGGGTAAATTTGATGAAGTCCTATGACCCAGAAAGTTAGGCAGATTTCTAAGATAAAACTCTTGCACATGGATATTTGCTGTGTGCAATCGAGAACTCTAGGAAAGACCCACCCCTGGAAACTGAGTTGGGACCATCCGCAAACAGCACCCAATACAAGAACAAACACCCTACACAGCCACACAAGTGAAGTATAATAAACTAACAGGGAGGTAACTCTCACAACTGGGAGAGAAAGAAGAACACTCGCACTGCAGAGAAGACATGACGGAGGCTTCCTCTTCTACTTCATGCCACGCACTTATTTTAAGTACTGGTGGACTGCAGCCTCACTTTTGACACCTGTTATTTACTTAGCTGTCAGAACACATTGAGCCAGATACGGGGGGCCGTGGCTATGATGTCCTTGGGAGATAGGGACAAGAGAATTGCAATGAGCTCATGGACACTGGACGACAGAGAAACTATCTCATAACCCCATCCAACCCCAACAGAGAAGAGCATCACGCAAGTCAGTCATATCTGTACGCATGCATTTAAGTTGTTAAAAATGTTCCTTTGAATCTGAGCGTGTATACATATAATCTGAAGCTGTTTCCTCAATATCCAGATAACCACTGAAAGAGCGAAGGTCTTCCATTTAAAGACAGTATAAGGACAGAATTAAATTTTATAGAATGATACTTTTTAAATAACAGTTTTGCAACATTAATGTTCTAATTCCAGCTGGGCATGGTGGCGCATGCCTTTAAGCACTCTGGAGGCAAAGGCAGACAGACAGACCTCTGTAAGTTCGAGGCCACCTGGTCTTCAAAGTGAGTTCCAGGACAGCTAGGGCTGTTACACAGAGAAACTCTGTCTCAAAAAAAAAAAAAAAGGTTTTTCTAATTCCTCATGTTATTTGCATAGCTAATCTGACATTGCTCCTCCCACACGTAATGCCTTCCTTGTGCTAAACATTTAGGCTTTTCTTTTTCTTTTAACGTATTTATTTTCAGTTTTGGTTGATCTTCTAGTGTCTGAGCTCATGTTTGTACCACTTAAACATCTGACCACATCAAAATCTGCTCCTTTAAATAATGACAAATGTAACCACTTTTCCACTGCTTAGATATTTTAGCTTTCCTTTTTCTGTTTGAGGTGAAGAAGGAAGTCAGGGCTTGTGCATACTACACCCCACCTCTACTGAGAACATTTTAAATTCATGTATTTTTCCAATTTCAGATCTATGCTGCTTTTCCAAACAACAGCAGGCGTGGTTTCAGTTTAGTAAATTTAATGTAGCCCATCAAAAGCCTTCTCTCTAACAGCGGCACATGTGAAACTCAACCAGTTTCTGATGACTAGTTACAAAGGCCAGCTCCAGTCCTCCACTAGGGAAGGACGGGAGGAGGCCAGTGGAGGAAAGTTTCTCACACGGACTTCCACTATTATTTCACTGATTTCTCATGAGCTGTCAGGCTGGTACTGATGCGTGTGGGCGTATTAAGATTTACAGATAGATCAGGAACCTAACCAGGGCAGCTGACATCCTTGGACTGCTCCGAGTGTCTCAGACCCCCACACAAGTCCCTTCCTGGTGCCATTTTAACTTCCAAGGCATTTTACATTATTCCCAGGTCCTCTGCCCAGATTCCAT